ATGGCGGAGCACAACATACGTTTCCAGCTGAGTAGATTTAGCTTGCAACAGTTAGGGCTTCAGTTTCCGGAATCGCACTATTACAATCAACGCAATTAGATTTCCACGGTATTGCTTGGTGAGTACTTACGGTGATAGATCCCCAGTCGCAGCAGCCGCCGATTTTGCATCGCCGAGGCAGGAATTAAACATCGCCGGCGTGACCTCGTGCAGGAGGATCCCCTTCAAGTCCTCAGCCTTGACTGCACTAATTTCTGAGATAGCACTGTAAGAAATTATTTGGTTTGTCTTGTAATACTCTTCGTTGGTCCATTCATTCCATTCGAAGTATTCTGGATATCGCATTAAAATTCCGCCTCACCTACGACAGGGCAAATAAACCGACTTACTTCGGAACTGAAGGAAGTGGTCAGTATCTGAGTCAGCATATGAATGAGAGGACCAAAGGCGACAGGAGACTCAACTAATCCACACGAGAACCAGTCAAAGTTTTGTTCCATATCTGGCATGTGCTGATTTTTGAAAAAATCTGGAGAAGGGTGCATGAGAATCTGAGCGAGATGGAGGCAATGAGGAACGAGACGAACCAACGAGGTCTTTGTACCTCAGCCATGCGGCTTCGACGACAAACTTCACAGTGTAGCTGTCGTCGTAGATCTCGCCGTCATTCATTTCCATGGTCAAGCACAAATGCATTTTTAACAGATGGCGCCTCATAATAATCGCAATGAGCATGAAAATGGACTGAAATGAAATGGCGATCAGGTCGACGTCGAGAGAAAAAGAGACTCATACGCGTTCAATCGGCTCCCCTCTGAGGATCTCTTGCACTGTGTCCGACGCGTCAATGTTGTAGTGGATTCTATCCAGCCGTGATCGAAGTGTGGTTTCTTGCGCATCAATGTATTCCTTGAACTGGTCCGCCAGCCACTCCGTTCCCTCAAAACGATCGATGGCGCTTGTCAGCCCGACAACAAAGGGCCACGTCTCCGATATGTAGTTGTTGATGTACCGCTTGTTCCCGGGCATCTGCATCGATACTTTGTCTCGAATGAGGAGCATTTCCGCGAAGATGTTGTCGATTTCTGTGCAGTATCTTGTGGTGTATATCTGCCATCCTACAACCCAGTAGGAAATCCAGCGCCGGCAAGCTGGACGAGGTCAGCTCATGAGCTTAACGCCAGCGCAAATTCGTACCTCCAACCATCATGACGACTCTGTGTGAATGCATTGACCTCAGAAATCGTGCTGAATCCGGATGTGTCCGGGTCCAGGACCTCTATAGTGACGGATGAGAAGAGGCTCGACAGCGATCAAACTTGATCCTACGCTGAAGAGTTCGGAGCCGTCTGACCTGCAGATAATCGAGCGCCCAATTGTCGGGGAGCAGAACACCGAGGCTGGTTTCAGGGTCCTGAACCTCCTTTTGATGTGGTACAGAAGGGGGGATAGTAGACGGAGGAGGAAGATCAATGTCCGCGTGTTCGTTGCGCTCGACCAAATAGTCGCGGAGGGCCAAAACCAGTGTGCGTGTTTTGGCGCTGCCTCGCCAACCCTGAAGAGTGGTTCACGACAGTGAGAGGATGTAAGGGCATAACGTACCTGATCCTTCCAAACTTGGCGCATAATCTGCCAGGGCATCACACCTCTCTGTAAGTTGAATTGAATTGGGGGCGAGCCTGAGATTCACACCTTGTCTTTCAGCCGAAGATGCGGTCCGCCCTTCAAAAAATTGATCACACGATCCCCCTCCTTATGAATGTTGTTCTTGAGATCCTCGCTAAGCAGATGCAGACTGAAATCCAAGCGTTTCTTACAGCTCTCCATATTCTCTTCTATCACCGAGCTGATATCACTCCGAAATTCCTTGCGCAGGACTGCTACAGCCGGTTCGTGCTGCTCTTGCCGTCCTGCTCCGTCCATCCGCGGCCTCTCAGGGCCTGCAGCATGGGTGCACTGGATGTTGTGTGTGTGTGTGGTTGTCAGATCGTCCTGGAGCTCGAGGAGCATGGTACATTCAGCGTTGTTGATCATGACTTTGTTCACGTTAGCTTCGTCAACGCCTCCGTGTGCAGTAAAGAACGCCTCGATCATGCGGTCTTGCGGAGTTTTGAAGGATTGGAACTCCTTCATGAATTCGTCGTGCATCCTTGAAGAAATCAAGGTGCCGACCGTATAAGATGGAGCCACAAAACTTACTCTTTTAACCTGTGTAAGCGTTAATTTAATAAACTAACCCAGGTTGCGGAAACACAGTGGCAACTTACGTAGTGCTCATGTCTTGGATTGTTGTCGCGGTATTGAGCGTAAGGGCGAACTGAAGCTCCTGGCGTCGGGTCGTGAACCTGACTTTAAAGCCTGCAAGCTTGTCGTTCCACCCTGACGCCTTACAGAATTTGACAATCAGAGATTGTTTCTGCATCGCATCCAGGGCTCAAGAATGCATCTCCGTAAGATTTCTGAAGGGAAGTCGGGAGGAGTCGGGAGGAGTATACGCACTATTGTAGCATTCTTCAATGTCCTTTTTCATCTGCTGACCGAGAGCCGCAAGCCGCGTCACTACGGGCTGACCGTCGGGCGTCTGCTGTTTATCGTTCGGAGTGATGCCCACTCCTTTCATCCTGCATATTGTGAGGCTGTGACAGTCCCCAAGCCAGTAGAAACTCACTCGACGGTTACGAGCATGACGTCCTTGATTGTCTCGAACAGAGCTAACCTGCTCCTTTGGAAGAGATGAGTATATTGTATTGAACAACGAGTTTTTTGAGTACTTCTCATTATCATGCCGCTTCATCTCCTGTTTGTATGCAAACTGGAACGGCAAGAATGCAGCTGGAGAGATATATGCTGTCGTGAGCCGCTGCTCCGATGACTACCAGAATTTCACGCGCACCTGCTGCGAAAGGGTGGACCTTTGAAAGGCTCTCGAGCGCGCTCATGAGCGCCGGTACCCCATTGAGGATGGCTTTTCCGAATTCTTGCACCTCTTCATTTGCGGCAATAGTTTTGATAGTCGCAACGAATGCCAGTCGATGCAGACGCAGCTGTCCCTGCGTACATGGATTAATAAGTGGGCAAGGCCGAGAGCACTGATTGCAACGAACGCACTTGCATCATTCTCGACTTGATTCAAAAACTTTTCGGTCTTGGAGACGTCGCCATTTGGATTATTGACTGCTTTCCATATCTTTTCCTCCGTGGAAACTGCGGTTATCGTAACGGTTGCGGACCTTGGCCTGGGTTGAGTGCTTCCGGTAGGGGCCGCAGTCCCACTTGGTGGCTGTCCGTTGGCCTTCGAAAATGCAGCCTTGTCTGAGAAACTGGATGGCGATACAAGGCGCATGGGCAGAGTCATTCCGCGACGCATTTCTTCCCGCGTAGATGGCGAATCTTCCCGATTTAGAGCACCGCGAGTCGGATTTGGCACCGGAGGAACAGGGTCTTGATCATCGTCAGAATGGTGGTTTTGTACGTTATGGTGGGAGATGCTGCGTAGAAGACGCTTCATCCTGGCGCGGACAATAGAGATGAACGGTTCTTAGTGGCGGAAAGACCAAGGAGCGATCTTTCTATATGACTCAACAAACGTTCAGGTGATGCGCAGTGCAGTGATCGGAAAGGCGCAACGCCGTGTGGCGTCCCGCGAACATCGCCCTTTAAATTTGGGTACGCTTCAGTGTCAAGTCGATGAATGAGTCGGTGGGCAAAGTTTGATAAATGGTGTCGATGCCGACAGCGGGCACGTATCTGGGCATGTCAAGATCAATGGGTCTTTGTGCAAGAAAACATAAAACTCAATTGATATTGACATACCAGGTAATGTATGTAGCCTGGTATGTTGCCTGGTCGGCAGGTTACGGTGGGCACGTGGGCTCGACATGAAGGCCGCTATGCTGCTAGTATGCAACAATGACTGCAGTCTCGATCTAATGTCGAGCACCATGTCCCGCTCAAAGCGTATCACAACCAGTTTCAGCGACTTCGGGTCCTCGACTTGATGAAGCGCAAGAGCGCCTCATGGAACAGCAGTAGTTTATCTCCAGCGTCTGCAGGCCTGGACAATTTGAACGAACCATAGCTGCGTTCGACACGCTCGAGGTGGAATGTTGGGAAGCGGCCTCGGAAAACGGAGAGACGCGGCTACCTGGCGATCTCGCAGATCTTCCTACGACGTGGAATGGAGCCCCGACACAATCCCCGACGCAATCTCGAGTGATGGTTGATGAGAGGCTAAAGCAGCTTGAGCCGCTGTCTGCGGAGTCTTTGAAGTGGCTGCTGATTTTAGTGCGCCACTTGGAAGGAGCGGGACGAAATAGGGATCGTGCAGATCCACGGGAACGATAACTCGGGCCGAGTCTGCCAGCGGCAAGTTGCAGCGCACAGTTCGTGATCCAGACAGAGGTTGCTGCTTGGCTTGAATGCTCTGACTTAGCAGTGCAATTGAATTCGCCTCCAGACTGCTGTGTGCGAGCGCGAAGCCGCGCAATTCAGCAGGCGGCAGTCGGACTGTCCGAGGCAGCCGGGGCAAAGTCTGGTGAGGACTTGTGCTGATGCATCCACCAGTATGAGTAGACAATTAGAGCAAATGAAAGAACCAGACACGCCGTCGCCGCACCCAGAACAGAAAAGCGACTGGTGGAAGCGAAAAGCAAGAGAGAGTCGGGCGTTGCCGCCTCGACGGATCCGGGTGCCTCCAGAGCACGTGCCTCTCCAAAAGCAAGAATCTTAAGTAGTTCAACTTCACAACACGTCATTGAGAATTTATATGGAGAAAGGAAGAAGATCGAGGAAATGGAAGTCTTCGCGCCCAGCGGAGGACGGAAGAAAAGAGCGCTATCAAATGACCTGACCTGGAGTTGCACCGGAAATGTTTATTCCTCCCCTATAGAATGCATGTATGTTCCATTACACCAGCCCACTGTGTCCCTCCTTAAGTCCCATAATATGTCTATGACTTCTCCGAATAACACAAAGAAAAAACTCATATCTTCAAAAACATACGGCCCAGCCTTGAATCGAACAAGGATCTCCCGCCGAAACGTCTATTCGCGCAAAGAACCAAAATAGACAGTGGGTATGTTACCGTTACACCACCAAGCTGCTTCATGCATCTCCCTAACACTGACTACGTACGTGATTTCTGACGCAAATCATGAAGATAAGGAAGAAAAAGGACCAATGAGGCAGAGGAATGGCCTGACCTTGATTCGAACAAGGATCTCCTGTTGCACAAAGTTTCCTGGCCATAGAAAACAGGGGTGTTACCATTACACCACCAGGCCGTTACCAGGGACTCCCCCACACTTACTACGTACCTGAGTTCTGCGAACAACCCCAAGAAAAAGGGCCTAACCTTGGCTCGAACAAGGGATTCCTGCTGAAATGGAAGGGAAGAAAATGAATTGCACGCAAGTGTGTTGCTGCTACACCACCAGGCCGATAAAAGTTTTGGGGAGGGAAACATATATATTCCGCAGTGAATATCAACCATACCCATTGAACATGAGCTTGTCAGTTTGATGAACGGAGGACAGAAGATTTTATCTCGAATCGACGCGGTCTTGTTGGAACTTTCAAGAAATCGCAGCGACAGGCTGTACTGGCTGAAGAACTTAGCAGCACTGTACGTACTTGCAGAGCTGCGACTTGGTTGAGGCGAAGTTGAAGTGAAGTGAAGTGGAATCTTATTCGACAGGACCGTTGAACTCGAAACGATGCTGATCTTGGTTCCAGCGGACGGATTGGATGCAGGCAGTATTGGTCCAGGATGCAAGGCCGGATAATGTTAGCGTCATCGGAGGGGCGCGGATATAGCCAAAGTATTTCGCGAACAATATAAGGAGTGGATGCCAAGCTGAGCAGAGCACGAGTAGGATAGGATGGACGGGGCACGCACTGCAGGACTGGCTGGTACTGTATCTCGACATACGTATGCCCGCGCCGGACTCGGAGGAGGAATTTGAACATACCGCAGACATCCTGGTAAAAGCGTCTGCCGCCACCGGGTGGCTCGAGAACCAGGATGTCAAGCGTGCTGCGTGCAGTTCGCAAACTCATCCTTTGAAGATTTGGATTGCTCTGTAAGTAATCTTGAGGATCCAGTACGTCAACTGATAAAACACAAAGCGGCATGCACAAAACAATTACGATGCGTAGCGGTCTATGAGACGCAATTTGAGAATTAAGAATGACATGCCCATCGGACGCGTCCGACTCGATGAGGGAACTAAAGTCTCCGGATCCTAGGAATGCTGCGCTTAAAATCGCCGTTTTCGTATTCGCGAGCCTCAAGGTCAAAATCTGCCGAGGCTTCAGTGCAGCTATTAGGTTTCGAGCGGGCAGCCAGACTCGTAGTTCGAGTAAGAAGACGAGACACGAGGACGAGAGCCCAAGGATACAGCACGCGTTGAAGACGGGTCAAGCTGTCCATGCAGAGAGATGCTGTCGAGGCTGAAGTATGGGTTCGAGTCGACTGGTCGACAAACGCGGCGGGAGCCACTATTACCCAGCAGGAGGTTTGAGATGACGGTCAGAGACAAAGAGTATTTGAAACCCGCACGTGAAACGACTTTGATAACCACCACCTCACCGTTGTGTGCCGTATGAACCGTTCCCCGCAAGCCCTTCTTTGGCCGCCCAGTCGCTGCGCTGGGTGGTACTTATAGGCCAGCGCGAGCCTTCGTCGCATCAATGGCAACGCCGCCGCAATGGGCCCCGAGTCCTCAACGTCATCCGCAACGCCTACACGCTGCGCGCCTGCGCTAGTCTCTAGAAGCTTACGAGCCTGGCGAGCACCTTCCTCAGAGTCGCTTTCAGCTTCAGCAGCCCTACCTAGACAAGAAGGAAGCGCTCAAGGTTCTGTTCACAAGCTTAAGGGTGTGTGCGTGGGCGCCTCTCCTCAGGCGCCTCTCCTCATGCGCGTGTATTTTGGGCTCATGAACCTTGGTTCTGGGAGAGGTGTGGTGTTGCTTGAAATCTCACTCTCGGTGCGTCTTTCTTGCCCTTCCTTCATGGTGTTTCTCCCGGGAGAGAAGTCATTCATTCCCTTCCCTTCCATCCATCCCCGTCTACGTGTCCCCGCTGTGCTCCTCCCGCCTTCCTTCGTCCCCCCTCCCTTGCCCCATGCTTACCTCCCCTCCCTTCACCTTCGCGTATGGTTCACCCGATCTAATCTCTTGTACAGGCGCCCCTTCTTGCCGTCTTTCTCCGTGCTTCCGATTCCCCTCAGTCTCCCACGCACGACCCCGCGTCCACGTTCTCCTCATGGCGGAGATATCGCGGCGTCGCCGCCGTACCCCGTCTGTAACACCACCACGCTCCCACCAATGCGCGTCTATCCCGTGTCCTTTCCGTGGTGCTCTCTCCGCGCCGTCCCTCCCCGCTGGATGTCTGTTAAGGCCATTGCGAATGCATTATGATCGGCCCCACGCGGGCGACGGAGGCGAACTCATTGCGCAGGGAGTGGAGCCCGCGCGCGCAACAGCAGCCTGCGCACGCCCTCGCCCTCACGCAGCAGCACACGTCGAATGTCCGTCAGCTGCAGCGTCACCGCAGATACGCTACCGCTGTAGAGCGCGCTCGTGAGGGGCAGGGTGCGCGGAGAGGATGACGGGCCGGAGAATCGAGTCCTGCCCGGGCGGTTGCGGCGTGCGGGGCGGCGTGCGCGCGCCCCGCACCGGAAGCGCTCGTATGGGCCTCCTCCCCCCGCGCGCATTCCTCTCTTACGCCATCCCGCCCGCCCCACCTCCTGCGTGGACCCCTCCTCACGTCGTAGGGCGGGCCATCCCCCGCCCGCGGACGCTGGCGTCAGGGACATTCGATCGTGGGGGTGTAGGGAGGGGCGCCCGCCCGCTGCGCATGTACGACAAGAACGCCGTCCTTGCAGTTCGAGGTGGCGCATGCGCCTGGCCCGCGGCAGCCTGGGACGGCGCGCTGCCGGTGCCCGGGACGCGCAAGGACTCGGCCTGCGCTCAAGATCGTCCGTGACCCACCGGCGGGTCAAGCTCTCCGCGTACGCTCAGATCTCCAGATCCTCCGATGAAGGCGCGGCGCGGTGGCTCTGCGGCGTCCCCTGCCCGGTGTGGCTGCGGACGAGTGCAGTTGCGCACTCTGCATATCAATGAATGAAGATAAGACGCGCGCGGATGGTGAGACGTTTCGTGTTTCCTTCCGGATGTACTCACAAATGCGCAGACCCACTCACGCGCTTCGTGTGGGGGACGGAGATTCTGCGGATCGAGAGGCGCGTACCAGCGAAGCGAGCATCGGCGCAGTTCTGGGTGGATGGGATTCTGGAGGCGGGTCCAGAGTGGGGCGCGCGCCCATTCAGGGTCAACGGAGTGCGGACGAGTCCGTGTTCGTGAGCGAGGGGTGAGCGAGAGGGGGGCGGGCGAGCGGAGCTGGAGAGCGCGCTTGCGGGGGGCGAGTCCTCGTGCTACGGAGCGGAAGTGCAGCGGGAGAGCGCGCTTGTGGGGCGGGGGCGGAGCTTAAGCGTACGCGCCCGTACGCGTCGCCTTGGCGACGTGTGCGCGGAGGCGACCCGCTACCCCGGGCTCGACCCCCGGTTGCGGGTGTCGGCGGCGGGGGGCGGGTGTGGTGGAGATGCGGAGGTGGGCGGCGTTTCCGACCGCGGGCGGGCGGAGATGCGCGTGGACGGAGAAGGGAGAGATCCCCAGCGGCGCGTGGACTTGCGGGGTGTCAAGCGCCTGCATGTCGGCGCATGCGGGTTCGTGGAGATGCGAGACGTCCTTCAAGCCGTCGGCGCCGGGGGCGTGTAAGGCAGCGCGCGAGCGAGTGTGTGTGGTGGGGGTGGGATGGCGCCGCAGGGTCCGGATTGTAAGCACCTTCTTCCTGCATGTGTCGGATTCGGTTGGGCGCGCGAAGGGGCCCACGGCGCTCGCGCGACCTCCCGTCCCGTCCCCGCCCTCGGTACCGCACCTGCGCATCTGAATCCGAATCCACGCCTTAAGTGCGATACACGACGGCTGGTACGCGTGTCGCGGTTAGAAGCTCTGCTGTGGATGGGAGGCGGCGTGCGTCACCTCGGTGAGAAGATGCAGGGCGTGGACCGGGGGCCGGCCTCGGTGCAGAACGCGACGCAGGGCATGCCTCGCCTCGGTGCCAGGACACGGCGGCGAACCTCCCGCCGGCGCGCGTCGAATTTCCTGGCGCGTTCGCTCGTTCGCGGCCCTGTGTCGGCGCGAGGCGCGTTTTGAGGCACTGCGCGGTTGCAGCCGAGGTGTCTGGGCGCGCGCAGCGGGCCAGAACAGGAAGCGAGGAGTATGGCGTACGTCGATGTGAGGACGCTGCGAATCCACCCCTCAAGTGTAGTGCATGACGGCGCACGCGCTTTCGCGGTTCGTCGCTCGGCCATACAGCGTTCGGCTTGTGGGATTTCCGCACACGGAGCCGCCTAAGGGTCGTTCCTCTTAACGTCAATGTTAGTTCGAGTTGAAATACAACCTGTTTCAATGCTTCCGGGGACTCCCATTGAATATTAATGGCAGTACAAGGATTAGGGAGTTTCCAGCGACTGTGTACGGTTTGCATTCCCCCTTTTCAATATTACAATGAGAACCTGGGAGGCCCGCCTTTGCGAGGCAAAGTTCCTCTGGGCTACATTTTAATGTGCATCTCCGCGTGCGGTGCTTTCACGAGGACGGTATGATAATCTGTGACGACTTCACACGATGTTAAGATATCAGCATTGTGCATAAAACTACAAGACAACGTGTTTGGTAGGAAATGAAAACCAATGAAAGATGATTCCTGTGAGAAGCCCTGCAATGACAATCAGTCGCAAATTTCTGAACACAAGATTTGTTGAATGTACCTTTACGTGGATGCGGGATAAGGGGTAGGCACTGAGGGAGCGAGATAGAAGTTCGGCGCGTCCGGTAGACCCTCCCAAGGAGAAAAAGATTGCCTAGGCGGAGTATATGTGAGTGCGAGATGAAGGCCATTCTGCATCAATGACTGCAGTTGCGGGAGGATATCGAGCTCCATGGCCCGATCAAAGCGGATTACAACGCGCTTCAGAGTCCTTGATTTAAGGAAGCGTAGGAGGGCATTGTCGGAAATGGTGCAAGCGTATTGGATCTCCAATGCCTGGAGACCCGGGCAACATGGAGTGGGCAAGTCGACAGATGGACTGAAGGATTCTAAAATCTCGTCATCGAAACTCTCCATGCTGATGTGGAGTTCGTGAAGGTTAGGCGGTAGGTCGCGAAGGAAACTAGCGAGAAACAGTTTTGACAACCATCCATGAATAATCTCGAGCCTTTCGATGAGCGGAGCAGTGGCGAGAAAGCGGACATAGGGCATGTTTTCGTTCTCCGACACTCCGCGAAGTTTTAAGTTCCGCAATTGTGGAAAAGAGACCCAGCCGAACAGGCGGCAGACGGCCTGAACGGTGCCACAGGCTAGATCCAATGTATGA